CGAGTTGTGGATGTACTGTGGATGTGATACTTCGTGGTTTGAATTAACGCCCTTACTACGACTATCCGCAGTACATCCTAAAAATTAGACCAAGTTTTTTATACCAAGGAAAAATGTGGTTCGGATTCTACTATAAACTGTAGGTCCCTATAGTTTCCATTAGCCCAAAGGGCTATTAATTGACAGCTGTGTCTAAGGAATATGTCAGCCTTAGTCACTAACAAGGATACAAAATCGTGCCACTCATCCATCCTACACTCATCTCCATGCATACTGGTACTTGGCTTAAAATACCTACTTTGTATGGTTGCCATTTCAAATTAAAGTATTAAAAGCCTAAGGCAAAATTACTCATAATCATAGAGGGAAGCAACTTTCCACAAACAGATTTATATCATCAGCGAACTAAGGGATCTTGATAACTCTCTTGATGCCTTTAAAGAATATGTACAACTAAAAATATCTGTAAATTTCTTTTGATGTTTTCATGATAAATATGCAATGCAATACAACAAAGTAACTTTTGAACATTAAAAATAGCTGTTAACAACAAATTTTTTGATAAAACTCTTTACAAAAATCTGAAGGGCAGGTACAGAATTGATGGCCTCTCAAGTCCGTAAATTGCATCTGTGATGTTGTTTAGTAAGTTCAACGCTAAATGATTATCATAGTTAACTTAACTTATCCAATCAATAGTGTTATTAATACTTATGAAGTCAAACGGAACGGGGTGAAGCCCGTGGATAACATCTAGCTGTCGCTGTCTAGTTGATATAAAACACGTTTTTGAAAATAATTCGATTGATGCTTTAAAAGCAAATGTTAAGCATTTATTTTATGAGTTATTTAACTTTTCATACAACAGATCTATGGAACATAACAATAAATTATTCTCTTTAGCGCTCCTTTAGCGAAGCACGGGTATGGCGGCTAGCTATAGTACGCTCTATTTCGCAACGGGTACACAAGTTCAGAATACATTTAATTGTTTGATGTAATAATTAAGTCAATAGCCCAAAAGTAAACACATCCGATTTATTATGCATCCTATGTTCAATTGTGTTTTGGATTTTGTCACATAACCTGAAAACCAGTCAAACGGTTACATGGAAATTGTGGGAAATTTCGCTCTACAAGTGCCTGATGCATCCCTGCATTTATCCCACTGAGCTAGATTTATCCAACAGTGTTGTCATATTGAGGGAGTAACACTAAATTCAGGGGCGTAATCTCGCTGGATAAAATTAAAAGTCTGCAGCAACCCCTATTTCAAATTTTAAAGGGAGCTCTGTCTGGAGCTCCGTTTTTATATATTCTACTACTGTATTTAACTTATGGATTTTATTTTGTACCTTTCATATCTATATATATAATACGTGAAGGCGTTTTTTGTTAACGCAACTCCTCCCTTATTTGTGGACCAATTTCAACGTTCAAGGTGTCAAAAGATTCGTCTCAATATGTAGTTTTGCAATAAGGTTTTAGAATCTTAAAATTCCTACTCTTAAGGGCGTGAGGCCTTCTCAAAGGTCGGCGTTTCCCCATAAGAAATACATGGAACAAATTTAAAAACAAAAAACAGCTGTTTATAAAAAGATACTCATTAGCTTTTTGGGAGTAAATATTTATGTTTGTATATTCAGTAGGTTAAGACCAAGTTAAACAGTTAATCAGTTATCAGTTTTGTTGGAAGAACAGAAAATGCCTCAAGTCCAAAGAAGAAATATTTAACACGGGAGGAGGACACAATTAATAATAAGATATCTTGTGCGTATATGAGGAGAGTAGAAAAAGAGAGGCCTGGTCTAACAGATACCCATCCAGATACACATTCACTTGGTGAGATGAATAATATTTTCCAGCTCTGTTATGCAACTGACTTTGGAAGTGATAAAATATACGAAGCACAGAGTGTTGTTACGGTGGTAAAGTAAACTTGCGTAATGTCAGTCAAATTAATGCATGCAAGAAATGTTTACTTCTGACACTGACAGATCGAGATATTTCAAAACATTTAGTAGAAACTATAATAATGCCTTGACTATGATAAGTACAAGTAGTAAGATTAAACCAAATATTGGCGGACCTTATGTTTTTATATGTAGAAATACGTTAACCAACTTTCAATGGTGTTGCTGACTTAGCCTATTCAAAGCAGATGTAGGTGAACCTTGACGACGCAAATACAAATTAGTTTCTAACAAGTAAGTGTTTAAACAACTCTAAGATGTTACTAGAATTACTCGAATTTTTAAGCATGTAACGTTTTCCTCGGCGTTATGTTTTATACTATGCGGCTCATTAAGCCGCACAGGTTCTCTAGTGTGTTATATTTAGCTAATAATCATAACATATAAAAGTAAAAGCCCTCACTCAAAAGTAATTGCCCTCACTCAATGATTCATTACTAATCCAACTTCCAGACTAGCTAGAACGTTGAAATTTGGTGTACTGATTCTTCAGGCATTAAATAGGAAAACTAAGTAGTTTTTATCCTGATCTGACTTTTGGGTTCCACCCAAGTGGTTCTGGAGTTTCCTTAACCTTATAAGTATCTATATTATTAAAAGACTTTGTTGGATTTTGTGTGCAGCAAACTGACCCGAATAAGTTTGAATGTTTATAGGCATATTGGGTATTTATATATTAAATATAGATACCCAATATATTTAATAGGCAAACACGAATTTTGTGACGTATCCGTTTTGAAGCTGCTATGCATCCGATCACCACGTAGATAAATGCTTTCCATTGACCTACCTTTATTGATTGGCATATCACTGACAAATGATCACTATAATGTATCTCAAAACATATATAAGACCTAGAATAATAAAATTTTGGATTGGGACGACAATCCATGTATATGGTGTAGATGTACAAAGTTGGGGGTTTTGCAAAGTTCTAAATTCAAGGGTGGTTTAGGGGATTAAATCTATTTAAGAAGAAATTCGAGTATGCAAGATATTATATTTTGGTCTGTAACTTATAAGCTACAATGCTTGGATCTTAAATCTTATGGAAGATCGGTGGTGTAGAATTAAATTATCCACAACTTTTGTATTTCAAGAGTGTTTTTCTATCTCAAACATATTTCGAGTAAAATAGGTTTACATTCAAATAAACTGTGAAAATTTGCTTGTTCCGCCACCTAAAAACTAGTCAGTGTCCGTACGTTTAACCATATGATTACCAATCTTTTATTTTATTAAATAGCATTATTTATTAATTATATAATAATAATGCATAAATCAATACAAGCTGTTAAAAACCTATCAAGTGTACTATCGCAAGTATAGCTACCGACATTATTACATTTTAGGAGCTTGCTCCCGTAAACATTTGAAATCTTCTATTCTAAAGCTTCAATTCAGTATAGGTTGTTATCATTAACCGGAACTGCTACACAATTTGTTGTAAAACGGTGATAGTTTTCGTTAAACGTTAATAGAGTCAATCGTCTTATATTTAAAAATAAATTTAACCGATTTTTCATGATTGAGGTCTCAAATTGAAGGTGTGCACAGATTTCACTCTAAGCATCAGCATATATATTGATCTACTGTATTACTCGTCCAAAAAACATATATTTAACTTTTTCGAATTCTTACTTCAATTTAAGATGCATTTCACCAGTTTTTGGTCTAAGAACCTTCAGTGAAATGCCGGCTTTCCATTTAAGCTATTAATTAGTTATCCAAATCGGACGGACTACAAGCAATAATTGCAATGTGAACAACCAACATATAAATTATTTTTTTATAAGGGTTTTCTATGATTAAAAATCAATAGGTCCACTATTGTTTATGTTTTTTCATGTTTTTGACGCAAAATATAGTAAGTTAATTAAAGGTATTAATTTGAGCTATTTATCGTTTGAATCAGTTAAGATCAAGATACTCAATAAAAATTTATAAATTTGATTATTGCTCGAATATGATTTTCATTTCAACGTTGTAGAGTAGCATGGGCCCTCTAGTAATTATTAAATGTACAGAAGGGACAACAAAATTCAAGAATAATATCAAATCAAGAGCATGCCGAGACAGTAACGGGGAACATTATATATACAGTATATCACTAAATAAAATAATGTTTTTGTGTTACTTTTAATCCTACTTTAGACTATCTGAAATACTTTTCAATAAAGTTAGAGAAAACTAACTGTACCATTGGAAAATTTGGCTTGGAGTATGATAATGAATGAAAGGAGATATGAATACTTTAGTATTTTTGGTGAAAACATCATTCAGTTGTTCCATTTCGGTAGTTCCGTTCCGTAGCTAAGTCAGTGACAACTTCAGCAGGCTTATAGTAAAGAATAAAAGACGAAAAAGTATGTCGGGCGATGCCAACGGCAACAGCTAGTTAATTAATAAAATCTGACCCGTTAATACTGTAGATTTAGTTACAAGAGAAAGTAGCCTAGCAGTGACCCAGGGGCATGGAGAGAAACAGGTTCGCAAGATGATGGACTTAAGTTCTAACTAGATATTTTATACATATAATTTCCTTCGGCATTTATACTGCCTACTTTGTAGCCGTAAATATCGGAATTACGCACATTACCCTTGTATGGGAATGTTTATTGCTCCAGACTTTTGGGTTGGCAGCACTGTTCACCCCATAACAACTACTCCCTCCCCCAGAAACCTTGCAGCCAATGAGAGCAGTCGATGCCCCCACCACAAGAGCAAGAGGGCGTTCATTACCTCACCAAATTGAAAAGTAACCAACCTGACCGATTTCAATATCGGGCAGGTAGGTCCCTTCACCAGTTTGAAAGGTTACCTACTTGAAGGGATCCCCTTGAAATTGTACTTGCTTGATTTCGTTACTGGTCTTTTAATCAATGCCCAAGTACTTTTTCTTACAACATATCTCCTTGCAGCTATCTCTTTGTCATTTTCAATAGTAGTGGGAGCGAGGAGCGAGACTGATGGAACGCGCTCTTCCTTCAATTTAGTTCAATCGTTCAATCAAAACAAATACAAAACACAACAATTCAGCGCTCAGCAGACAGCTAATTTATCATTTTACTTATCATAGATATCATCCAAAGTTCTTTGTATTTAAAATCCCTACATTGTCATATCTGTGTCAGATCTAATTAATTTGATCCCATTAGTAACACTTTTCTTTTAAAGAATAAATATAGCAGTGAACTAGTGACCTGTGATGTCGTTTTTTTAACCTTACTTGATTCTAAGGAAACAATGCCAAGTGATATTACGGAAAAGTTCCTTGAAGGTACGATTTTGTCATGTTCTTATAATTAGGTATTCCTGTTTGGCTTATAGAACATAAATTATTGTTTCCTATTCTAAAGTCTTAAGCCTGGTTTACACGGGTAGAGTTGTTGGTAGTGTAGAGTTTATAGTAGAGCTACTTTCTTGTCCACTCTACCGATTTTAAGCAAGCGACTGTTCACACATAGTACAGTGTTGATGATAGTTTGTGAACTGTTTGTTCCACCTCCATTCCCAAAATGAATGTTATAAACCAGTTACAAGACAGTGTCACTCTACCAGAAACTCTACTCTACTGCCGCGGATCACATTTACACAAGTATAGTGTGCAGGAGAGTGACAATTTTGCTAGTGGTGGGGGAAGTAGAGTAGAGCTACTATGCCACATGTTGCTAGTAACTCTACTCTACCACCTACTATCTACTATACTAGCTACTAGGCGCTAGTGGGTGTTTACACGGGTAGAGTTACTCTACTAGAAACTCTACTCTACCCACAACTCTACCCGTGTAAACCAGGCTTTAGCATTATAAAGGATAGGGTTAGCTTAACAGTGGTTTGTCCTGTTTGATTTACTACAATGAGTCCCTGAGTTAATTGGTTGGCTTAGTGAAAGATGAACCTTCCTACCTTTTATACCTATAAAAGATACCTTTTATAGGTAAGAAGGCCTACCTTTTATATTATAAAAGATTCAGTAAAGGATAACCCAAAGCAAAATTAATTATTAATTTGAACACATTTTGTGTATACCTAAATAACTTGGTTCACGTTTCAACTCGTGCCTAACTAAGTTACAATTAAAAATACACCATTTACACATTTCAAGTCAAAGTAGGAAAACATTTATAGTGGGGAATGGAGTTGGCCTGCAGTAAGTTACAATTTCCTAACAGAATTGTTACTCGGTCATTATCCTAAGCAAAGTCCATTGATCAGTGACCGCTCGCTCTCCTGCCAACTAGGCCCTACTGCTAAATCATGTCTTCCTCCATCAAAGAGCTTTCCTTTAGAACAAACAGCAGTCTAGCTTCTTATTAGATAGCAAGTACAATTCAGGCATCCTTAAAATATAGCTAACTCACTAAAGTAAGTAACTTAGCCATTAAAACCGATCACATGGTAGGCCTATATAAAATACCCTCTTCAAGTTCTGTGTGGGGTGTTTTGCTATTAGGTTTATTGAAACCAATTTTTAGTGTCCTATTCACTACGTAATAATTCTCATCTTAAATTGCCATCTCATTCTTAAACTACATTTTTCAAAAGACACTTTCATTACAATGGCATTAAACTTTTTGGTAATTATTTGGACGTAGTGACTACTCGCAAAAGTGAAATTTTTTTTTCATAATGACCTAAATTTCACGCTGAATCCGAAAATGACGTTTTTATTTTTCGGAAAATACCGGAAATTCCCGAAAAAAGGGGAAAACGGGAAAAATATTTTTTTACTCAAAATACGTCATGTGGGTACTCAAAATATGCGAAATATTGTGTAGATTAAGAATATGCAAGAATTGTTTTGATCCGATGAAAAACACCGGAGATATGACGAAAAAACTTAGACTTGGTTAGGCTAGGTTAGGTTAGGTTAGGTTTGGTTAGGATAGGTTAGGTTTGGTTAGGTTAGGTTTGGTTAGGTTAGGTTTGGTTAGGTTAGGTTTGGTTAGGTTAGGTTTGGTTAGGTTAGGTTAGGTTTGGTTAGGTTAGGTTAGGTTAGTTTATCAATAACATGAGTATTGTAAGTAAACTAACCTAACCTAACCAAACCAAACTTAACCTAACCTAAACTAACCTAACCAAACCTATCCTTACCTCATCATTAGGTTAGGTTAGGTTTGGTTTGGTTGGTTGGGGTAGGTTAGGTTTGGTTGGGTTTGGTTGGGTTTGGTTAGGTTTGGGTTAGGTTAGGTTAGGTTAGTTTAGGTTAAGTTTGGTTAGGTTAGTTTATCAATAACATGAGTATTGTAAGTAAACTAACCTAACCTAACCTAACCTAACGAAACCAAACCTAACCTAATGATGAGGTTAGTTTAGGTTTGGTTAGGTTAGGTTTGGTTAGGTTAGTTAAGGTTAAGTTCGGTTAGGTTAGTTTATCAATAACATGAGTATTGTAAGTAACCTAACCTAACCTAACCTAACCTAACCTAACCTAACTAACCAAACCTAACCTAACCTAACCAAACCTTACCTAACCAAACCTAACCTAACCTAACCAAACCTAACCTAACCTAACCTAACCAAACCCAACCAAACCTAACCTAACCTAGCCTAACCAAGCCTAACCTAACAGATTATTCAGTTTTATCGTCATATCTCCGGTGTTTTTCATCGGATCAAAACAATTCTTGCATATTCTTAATCTACACAATATTCCGCATATTTTGAGTACCCACATGACATATTTTGAGTAAAAAAATATTTTTCCCGTTTTTCCCTTTTTTCGGGAATTTCCGGTATTTTCCGAAAAATAAAAACCTCATTTTCGGATTCAGCGTGAAATTTAGGTCATTATGAAAAAAAAAAAATTTCACTTTTGGGAGTAGTCACTACGTCCAAATAATTACCAACTTTTTAATCTCCTCCCTCCCTCCCTTCAGCTGGAGTTGGACTTGAACCGCTTTAAAAAGCAAATAAAAAAAAAATACTCTTGGCCAAGGGTTACAGTGTTCGAGATTGTGTCGCTGATGGGTTTAGTTAGTTAGTTTTTTTGTTGAAAGAAGTAAGTTTTATTGAAGCAACATTGTCTATTGTTTATTTTAATTTTAGTTCTACGCTATTAATTGACATGACCAATGCAAATTTTGTATTTGTTATTTTGGTTCAATAAATGAGTTATGAGTTATGAGTTAACCCCTTTTATTGAAAACCTTAAGTTAAACGTCAATAGGAAAAGTATAAGACTTTTTAGTAGTTTTTGTTTGGGCTATTAGTTTTAATAGGCCTATACAATAATGTTTTATTCCTTTTAAAAGCATATCAACATATGGACATGTCTGGAAATATTTAATTCTTAACTCAATTTTTAAGTTAAGTTAGCTGTTTAAAAAAATATTTTTATCGTAATATCGAAGCAAGTTTGATAATTATGAACATTCTAAATTGTTTAGCTAGTCATTATTTCTAAGTACCGGTAGGTGACCTTAAAAGCCCTTGTATTCAGTCTAAAAAATCTAAAAAGATATGTAGCTTGTCGCTGAGGTAAGATTGTTTTCCACATAAAAATTAGGGGCTAGATGAATATTTAATTGCCATTAAGGTAATCGTGTCCATTTAAATAACTTATGTGAATCCTAACTCAGGTACAGTAGGGTAACTCACTATAGATAGGTAATTACCTATTAAATTAGGCCTGATGAGTTATTAATTTAGACTTATTTTTTCAGTTCTGAATACTACCTTCTCATTATGTGATAAAAATGGAACAGGTCTTGTTGAGATCAATAGGCTTATTGATTTTCTCATATCTCAAGAACCATCCTGGCACGATAATGAGTAAGTTGTATTTCTAAGGTTAACTTTTATGAAGTACCGTATGCCTCAATTCTTGCACAATGCCTACCACTATTCCAGATTAAGGATTTCACTAAATGTAGCCTATTTTTAGGCTTTATAAAGGTTAACTTATTTCTATTCTAGGAGACTTAATTCTATAAGTTGTGTGCCCCAATGTAGAAATTTTATCCTTTCATTTTTAGAGGGTTTGGGACAAACATTTTTTTAGACAAACAGCAATAGGGTTAATTTTATTTCGTACCTAATTTTAATCATTACCGGTATATCCTTAATATATTCTAAAAAAAAAATGTTATTAGTGCAAAATCTATAAATTCAATATTTTTCATGTAATTTAGGTTTAAATTAAATTTTGTTCCAACAGTAGTACTTGTTGTTACTTTTTGTTTTAAAAATACTTTGACCCTTGTGTGTTTAGTTGATTTGTATTGATATGAGACATGTTGGAAAAAAATGTTTCAAATAAAAAAGTTGGCGTATTTATCAATCATTAAAATTACCGTATAGGCCTATCGGTTTTATAAATTTTAACTGTAGCCAGTTGACAAAATCAGTCCCGCAAAGGGAGGCGGCACCGGGCGCAAGAGTGTTCGTGGCCCACATCCTCTGGTGTAGCACCTCAGCAGTCGTTTTGCAGCAGAACTATCAGTGGCGTAACAGCCGCCCCCGCAGACCCCGCGGTGCGGGGGGGCCCGCGAGGTTTAGGGGCCCGAGAGGTTAAGATACCCTTTTCTCATAAAACCGTCCGTAAAACCGATCCTTTGTTCACAAATGTTTTCTCTCCTGACAAATTATAAATAAAAAAACGATGTGTTGGTAGATACTTTTATTCTGCCAAATCTACTAAAGTTTTATCTTTTAATTAACAATATTGTTAACGAAACGCCAACGCTCACTACGATCACCCGACGATGTGTATTGTCAGTGTGGTTGTGTAGGTTCATGCTAGCGCTAGGAGCTGTGTGCCTGCCTGCCGCCCCTGCCGGCCTGCCGCCGCGCCGTGGCGACACACACTCGGAGCCAGCCCCTCGGCCCTCCCCCCTCCCCCACTAACCGCTCACGTGTACTCAGCTGACCGTAGATCACCTGATTTTGGAGATCCATTCCATGCGGATTGCGAGTGACTCGTCAGTAGTGCATGTCGCGAGAGTTTCTCAATCAGGTGGCATGTCATTAAATTGGGCTAATTTAGTGAAGCACTAACATTTACAGTTGGGACCCGGACCACGAAAGTTTGCAGTTGGCGGCAGCCAATCACAAGACTAGTGCGACGTTGCCATATCGCCCTTTGACGACACTAATTAAAATACTAAACAATATTTTTAAAACAGCTGGTATTATTCGATTTGGCAACACCGCACTGCCCTCATTGGCTCATTTGAAGTCAAATGGTAAATATGCTACTCCCTCAACTGCAAACTTTCGTGGTCCCGACTCAAATAGTTGGAAGCTTGGTTGAGTTTAGTAATGAATGTGAATGGTGGAGTAATGGAGTAGCCCATATATATTAATCACGGACATAACTCCCAAGTTTATTATCACTGTGACAGTGACAAAATATAAAATGTGTTTCAAGGACGACTCTGGTCGTGTGGTTGAAGAATAGGTAAATACTTGATATTGCTAGAGACCATCCTCTGCCAGTCTGATCGTGTAGGCCGTATGCCGTATGCCTGCCGTCACTTACGTCATGTGATAGTTGTGGTGTGGTGATATGGTTGTGGTATATAGTGCTGTGGTGGGGAATGGGAGGGGTAGTAGGGGGCCCACAGACATATTTGCGGGGGGGCCCGAGGAAATACTGTTACGCCACTGAGAACTATTGTTGGTATTATTGTTACAACACAACTGGTCTAATTATGACCATTTAAATTACACAATTAGGCTAATTATTAGTATGTTTGTTGGATAACCTTTTATTTTTATTCTAGAGGTTTTACCTTATTGTTGCCACTGTAATCCACTGTCGTCTGGATGGCGACCGGTTTCGACACTCATTGTGTCATTGTCAAGAGTTAATGAGGTGTTGTCACTCCTAGGAGGTCGTCATAAAGTCTTGAAAATAAATACACGAGACACGCACAAACATATTTACAAATAAATAATACAGTATGGCCATACAAGAACACTAATTCTCACGACGCGACTGCGGGTTCAGGGTGTAGGTCTAGATTGACCGTCGCCGTTTCCTTTCCCTCCCCCCCCTTACCCCTCACATTGTTATCAGCGTCTTTGTCTTCTGATAATCCTTCTATCATTGTGGCTGCTTCATAAATTATGTCAGATTCAAACAACGTTTTTTTTGTTAAGAATGTGTTTGGGGGATTTTTTTGCCGGCCTTGAAAATCTCATATTCTTCTATAATATCGAGTAAACGGCCTCTTTTTTTGTGAAAACGAAGCACATCTATGTTTTTGTCAATATTTGAGACATTGTGGTTATAATTAATCGGGTGATCGGCAAATGCAGAATTGGGTTTGTGGATGGATGGTTTCGGCAAGTATTCCTTATATCAAATTTTAAATGAGCGGGCGGTTTGTCCAATATAAAAACTAGGGCAGCTGTCACAATTAAGTTTATAAACACCAGATCCTTCTGTTTTTTTCGGTAATAGGTTTTTTCCTTTGTTTCTCAAAATACCTGAAAGTTAACTGTTATTTATTTTTATTTTTTCATATAGCCTTATAAATGTTTTTAAGTCTCGTATTTATTTATTTATTTAAATTAAAATTATAGTAGGCTCTACATAAGTTTTTTGTGTTATAGTTTTTTTTCTGTCCCAACAGATGCAAGTTAAAACCTCCCCCATTTCTTTTCAGTTCTTCTTTAAAATCATCTATCTGAATAAATACTGACGCCATTGACTATGTAACACTTAGCCTAGTGTTATATAGAGTCAATGCTGACACTTGTGCTTGAGCTTCTTCTGAATTGAAAATTTTTCACAGCACTTTTTTCCCCCACCAAGAAAAAGGAAAATCTCATCACAACCTGTTATGGCATATGCAATAACTTTAACCTCATCGATGATTTTGGAAATGCTGTACAGTAATAATCCTTCCATGCAATTTTTCAGTTAACTGATTGCTAGGGTTCCCCCATCCCCCCAAAGGGCCCAAAGACCACTTCTCAGAATCACCCGCCAAATTCATTTTTATGCTGGGGTAGGTTCCCCGCGGCATCTCCCCATATGCGGATTCCCTATTTTTTTAACTGCACTGGAAAACTGTTGTAGGGCTTTCAGCTTTTGAATTGAATTTTTAACCCAATTTAAATGGACAATTTTCTCGGAAGGCCAATTAATAGAAAATGACAAGTTATTGGTGATACCGTAAATAATTAATTATAAGTTGTTTTAAAATGTGTTCAGTAATTAAATGTACCAGCCTACAGTAGGCCTATTAGTCCAGGAGCTGAGGGGGGTTGAGCATGCATGATAGTAGTACGCAATGTTATTGCTGATTATTGTAATATGGACTGTGGTGATCAAAATTACGTATGTCGCCTATTTCAAAAGTGGTCGATAAGGTGGGGGGGAGGGGGCAAACATGGCGGTTTGCGCTATGCGTTAAAACGCTGATAGTTCGAAAACGGTAAAATATCGAACATCGGTTAAAACGTCGTTGTAATCCTAAAAATGTGGACAACAATAATGGTCATTGGGTCCGAGGTCGTATCTCTATAAATAAACAAGTTATTGTATAAAATATGTAAAAATGGACTTTTCGTGTAGATTTTTTACTGAAAGTAGAATTAATTTGTGAGTGTCGCAAAGAAGTAATATCAAATATCTTTGCTGATAGTTGTAATATGGACTGTGGTGATACAAAATACGCATGTCGCCTACTTTTCAGGTGGTCGAGAACTTGGGGGGAGGGGGGCAAAGATGGCGGAACGCGCTATACATCGAAATGACTGTAGCTCGAGAACGGTACGAGATAGGACATCGGTTAAAACGTAGTTTTAATCCAAAAAATATTACCAATAGAAAAGATCATTGGGTAAAAAGTCGTATCTTAACTAATAAAAAAGTTATAACAATAATAAGTTTAACAAAATCTACATCGTACAGCTATTTTTTTCGAAAATCGTATGGATTGTTGATAAATAATAGTGTAATTACTTAATTACTCGGCTAAATATTAACTAGATGCATTTTCTTATAAGAAAAAAATATATTATTACGAATACATTTGGTTTAAAATGTAAAACACGGCCTCCAAACTACATATAATACTTGGGGTTTGGCCGCAATCAAATGCATAATACAGACTACCACTACAAATCCAATTTTAATTATTATAATGTTGTAGGTTATTACAATATGATTATGTAACAGATTCTTATTTAATACAGTTATATGAAATAAAAAACATTACTACAAAAGTAAATACCTTATAATAATAAATACGGCAAATCTCTCCATTCTATCCATAACAATTACACTGGTTGTTCATATTATTTGTTGAATTTAAATAGGTACCTTTTTAATTTCTCTTAGCACCTAAAGTACAAATAAAAAATTGTAAATATTTTCTTTGATACAAATGTATATACATATATATATAATTAATGCATGAGAGCGGTCAAGAAATTTAAAGTTTACGGTGTTTATATTTACAAGGAATTAAACTACTATATATTATATTTCATATTTAATTATTATCTTATTTGTTTGATTATTTATTTATCATTATTTCATTTATATACTCAGTGTATAATGAAATACAAAATACAAGCAATCATTATTTTAAAAACAGCAGCAATTATAACGCAACCTAACGGACGAACCCCAAGGCGTTTGGAGGCCGTGTTTTACATTTTAAACCATATGTATTCGTAATAATATATTTTTTTCTTATAAGAAAATGCATCTAGTTAATATTTAGCCGAGTAATTAAGTAATTACACTATTATTTATCAACAATCCATACGATTTTCGAAAAAAATAGCTGTACGATGTAGATTTTGTTAAACTTATTATTGTTATAACTTTTTTATTAGTAAAGATACGACTTTTTACCCAATGATCTTTTCTATTGGTAATATTTTTTGGATTAAAACTACGTTTTAACCGATGTCCTATCTCGTACCGTTCTCGAGCTACAGTCATTTCGATGTATAGCGCGTTCCGCCATCTTTGCCCCCCTCCCCCCAAGTTCTCGACCACCTGAAAAGTAGGCGACATGCGTATTTTGTATCACCACAGTCCATATTACAACTATCAGCAAAGATATTTGATATTACTTCTTTGCGACACTCACAAATTAATTCTACTTTCGGTAAAAAAACTACACGAAAAGTCCATTTTTACATATTTTATACAATAACTTGTTTATTTATAGAGATACGACCTCGGACCCAATGACCATTATTGTTGTCCACATTTTTAGGATTACAACGACGTTTTAACCGATGTTCTATCTTTTACCGTTTTCGAACTATCAGCGTTTTAACGCATAGCGCAAACCGCCATGTTTGCCCCCTCCCCCCCACCTTATCGACCACTTTTGAAATAGGCGACATACGTAATTTTGATCACCACAGTCCATATTACAATAATCAGCAATAACATTGCGTACTACTTTCATGCATGCTCAACTCCCCTCAGCTCCTGGACTATATACCATTTGGTCATAAAGAAAACTCTTACTAAAATTCCCAAAATTGAGAATCTTTGTAATTACGGTATGTAAAACATATTAGCTTACTGTAGGCTATGATAAAATGAGTTGGGAGGGTGGTGGATTTTTTTTTCGAGTTGAGGATGGTCTTTTAACATTAAATGAAGAAAACTGAAGGTATTTAACAAGAAAAAAAGTCAATTTATCAGTTATTCTTTGTCCAAAATCAATAAATCTACTTTTTTTGTCCTAGGACGCTAGGCACCAGCCCGGAATTGTTTTTCACATTACTTGAGGCTAGACCTAGGGGTTACGGCACTATCACTTCTGGCCTAGATAAATTCCATTGCTGATTTGGCGGGATTTGAACCCGGGATCCCAGGAACCGGAGTCCCGCGCTCTAACCACTAGACCGCTCCCCCAATAAAACAGCTTTAAAAATTGTTTTTCATTCCCATATCCAATGTTCTATTTCTGTTGTAGTCAGCTAATTTTATTTAATCCTTTAGAGACTGACATTTATAAATTTTGCTTTTACTTGAGTCCCTGTAAAAGTTTTTACGAGACAATGACACTTAGAGAATAAGTTGCTAGAATAATTCTACATGTTATTCTGTATGATATCTATCTCTCTATGATATTATAACTCTTATGCTAATATTTTTGTTTGATTGATTTATTTATAGAACAGTGCGAGAAGAATTTTTTAAAGTTTTGCACAATGACCTAAACAATGTAATAAGTAAAGATGAATTCATTAAGTCGCTGCTGGAATGGTTTGAAGCATCTCTCAACCAGGAAAAAAATCATACCAATGGGTTAGTAAAAAATTAATCATACATGTAAATAATATATATATCTACTGGTACCTAAATTTAAATTGCTTGTGTAACAGAAACTGCAGAAAATTAGTATAGACTATTACGAGTATTTTGTCCATTCGGTAAAAGAAGAATGAAAATTAATGATAGTGTTTTTTGTTTAACTTGCAACTCCTAGTGATACATTACAGAGGCCTTCACTTGATTAGCTTCGTTGATGATTTCATTACTCACATTCACTTAACACAAAACTTTTAAATAAATAGTTTTACTGCAATATCTCAATCGTACAGACTCAAGTTGAGTCTGTTCCTGCTCGCGTACTGGCAATGTTGTATGTTCATGATAGGCCTATCATAGTACAAACAATTTATTTATATGTTGTAAATGTTGTTTGTTAAGTGTATGTAAGCAATGGAACTATCAACAAAGCTAATCAAGAAGATGTAATGTATCTCCAAGACTGATATGTTTGAAAATGTTTGAAAACAATTTGGAACTGCATAATAGGAAATATTTGCCACAGTATTTTTTCCACGCATATAAATTAAATTGAATACTTTTATTTATATTCCTAACCCCATTATTGCTATTCCAATATCATTAACCTTATAAATTTAGCCTGATTAATTTTCAATTCCAGAAAAAATTCTACCAGTGAAGCTGGAAAATGTTCAAACTCTTCGAGTGGTATTAGTGAACCATCTGAAATAACTTCTGGAAGCAGTACCAACAGCATGGAGGAAATTCATCCAGGAACAATATTTGGTTTGAAATTGTTAATTATATATACCTGAGCGCCATTAAATTGGCAAAAGCTATTTCTTTCCAGATGTCAAAAATATATATGTATGGTTTAAATACTAATTCGAAAATACAACGGCTTATGGTTTCCAATGCTAGTTCAAATCTGACACTTACACAGTGCTCTTAACTCTTAACTCAACTATTAGGCTATAGCTGGCTTCCACCCCTATGACAATCCATCTCGTTATAGTGATAATGATATGAGGAGAGATCAACGTTCCCACCAGGTATGAATCACTTTCTATGTTTAGATTTCTGTGGTGTAAGGCTTCAACCCTTATTCAAGTCTATTGCCACTTGATGGACATAAATAGAGAAGGGTTTGGATGTAAGAAATATGTATAAGAGGTGGAAGGATTTGGCCGTAAATATTTACATGATGTTTGCAATTTTTCTGGCCAAGTGTAAGCCAGTTGCGGTTATTCAACTTTACTTTAATCACTGTCTCTGACGCTGTTGATATCAATGGTACAAACATGTACTTCTGTGCAATTGCACCTTCTGTGATACGAAACCACTTGCACACCTTTTTTAGGTGTGTACACATTTTTTTGCATACACATCCGTCAATTGGCAATGGATTTTAATAGGGGTTGTCCCTTATCCAAAAATCATAATTACAGAGTGTGATTCATATTGGGAGCATTTTCCCTCACATCTTTTTTTGTGTAGAAAGACAAGACTAATTGTCGCTATTATATGGTTGGTTATGTTGATTGACTTGTTTAGCTATGTTTTGGTTTGATGTAATTGTTAAAGGATGTTAACTATTTTTCCTTGTTTAATATGAAAACTTTTTACCATATTACATTTCTGGGCTATTCTATTACATCTACTATTAAGGTCACGGGCCTTTTACAATTTACAAATGTAAATTTTGTCATTTATCATTTGTCATGTCATCCTGAAAGTAAGACATGTTCAACATAACTTTTTTCTCTTGTTGCTGCTGCTATCATTGGTTTAACTCATCGTAGTGGAGTATACATTTTGACATGGGGGAAAGGGACATGAAAATAGGAATTGAACTACTTGAAGGGGTTTCCAACGACAACAACTGTATTTTAAATTGTTCTATATAGTTACAGATGAGCAGACCTTTACCAATGAAGTCTTTGATGAAACACCTCTCAATGACAGTGAGAACTCCCAAACAGATCTAAGGTAGCTTTGACTCATCATTCGTAGTACGTGGATAGTCTAGTATAATTTAACAATTACTTTGATAGGTAGTGTTTCAGGAAATGGTGAAATAATGAGGAAGTAACACTTTTTCCTGATTTTCACTGCTGAAAACTGCTGAACTGACCAACTACCGTCAGTTTCAATTCTAGTAAATAACCATTATAAATTCAATCCGACTATTCATATTAAAATAAGGAAAATATTGTTCTAAATAATTATAATCTGAACAAATTTAAGGATTTTAAAGTACTGTGTGTAACATAATAAATAAACAAAAAAAAGGGCTCATTCAGGAACCTCAATTAGTTCTTTTAGAAAGATTGCCCGTTAGAAATGTGTTGTCTGAACGCTTTAGCAGCTTAAACTAAAGCGATGTGTAGCTCACTAAAACTGTACAACCGATACATGAAATGAATACCTACAATTCAGTAACTATACTTAATTAATGATTTCTTGACTTTACAGACATTTTCAATAGCTCTTTCCCGTCTCAATTAATTTGTTATATAAAGGATGGTAGAGCATGTTAGTTTCAAGGGGTTCAATGATAAAAGATGTGTTAAAATGTGTACATAATTTACAAATGATATGATAGATGATAAGTTTTTGTGTGTTTAGGTTTGTGAAAGTACTACAGAGTGAGATTACTACTCTTCTTCGAAAAAATGAATATCTGGAAAATATTAATGAATCATTGCTCGGTCAAGTTTCATATTTAGAAGACGCATTTGCTAAAAAAGAGCAAGATTCAGAGGATTTAACGAATCAGTGAGTTGTTAACCTAAAAGTGATAGATTACTAGATTACTATAGTCCAAATGTGTTTAAAGTACGACAATATCCATTATACCCCTAAAAATCCCACCTGATATTTTGTGTTTTGTTTCTTCCAACCAAACCCTGATAGTGCAAACTACGTACTACTCGCAAATTTTTCACTCTCAATGCCAACGCCAAGGAGAAGAAGAAAATGGGATGATGATGAAGCGACAGTAGTGGATGTGTAATTGGTTGTTTTACCAGTTGGGGGTTGATAGCTGTAAACAATAGCTATCAACCCCCAACTGGCAAAACAATAGCTACAACTACTAACAATGGCTAGTCTTTGCCCTGACTTGGAATCCCCGAATCTTGAGAATCCCATCCGAAGCATGCACTGACCCTCTTTCTGCCTCGACTCATTCCTGTCCATCATTTTCCAAATTCAGTCATTCATGTGTCCAAATAACACATAATCTAAAACTAACTAGGCAAGTTCACCGTATTTCAGTGACTGCCGAGTTATTGAGTGTTGTCGACCTAAATACTGTACATATATTTTTCTTTTTTTACAGATTAAGTAAAACAAGAAATCATTTAGAAGTGCAAATACAAAAATATGAAGAGGCTGAAGACCGAATTAATATTGTTACTGAAGAAAATAAATCAATGTCAATACAATTATCCCACTCTGAAAGAGAAAACTGCAAGTTAAATTCAGCTCTTTCAAGCCTTGAAGAAAAGGTAAAACTAGAACAGTAAGACTTGAGGTTTAACATCGGTAATTTCAATTACCTGCTACAGATTGATGGTTCCTTGTTAAGAGATATTAAAAAGCTACAAAAACCCTTTGAACTCAAAGCTTAATATACCCTTCTATCATAACACCAGCAAACCTTCATTTACTATCAATGTAAAACTCAACAAAATGGCTGAAAGTTTGCGTACTTCCAAGTTATAAGAGCAGAGACCATCTTAAATTTTAAATAGTGACGCAAGGGGCTATGTTAACTGTATAGCGCTTGACTACTACAGCATAAATGCCGGAATTAGGATCTTTCAAAGATATTAAAAGCTGAAAGTCTTGTAAAGGAAACAAACATTTAAAGCACACGTGTGACATGAATAAAATATAGCAAAATGAAACACTGAGAGTACCTGATTTCCAATTTTACTGAGGGTGGGCGTTATTGTAATTGAAGAACCGCAGCCATAGAGGTGTGAAGATCCTGTCGATGAGAGAGATGGCAGCATAGGGGATTAGGGCCTCACTGCTGGGGGAGAAGGGGCCTTCTGTAGGGAACGATGAGATGATGTTGGTTGTATGTAGAGATGATGATGTTCAGAGTTGATGTGGATAATTTTGTTAAGCATTAGAGAGTATAAAATCTATTCTCTAGTATTAAAATTGGAATCTCTTCCTCTTGAGGTTTTATCACTTTCCGGTTTTAACCGAGAGTACATGGGAGTTGACACAGTGAAGACATAAGCGGAACTGGATTTTGTTGTTACAAATATCATAGTGTCTCTCCCACTCTTGGGAAAAACTAAACAACCAACTCTTGGGCCAATCAAGTGAGGCCGTGCTATCGCAAAACTGCTTGACAAAGTGTATGTCTGGAAACAGATGACTGGACATGTTGATTACTGACCACAGATTCAATCAAATGAGTAGTACCACCAATATGATTAACATAGGCAAAATCCATATATACAGGGTGGCGCAGATGGATCGGGTGGTTTTAAAATACTTGTCAAACCGTCATTTTTTAAGGTATTGGATTGAAATAAAGTGCAAAACGTGTAGTTAAAATGGAAGTTAAAATTGACAAAAAATTGTTAAGTTAGTTTTTAAAAATTGCATCCATCAAATGCCTTCGTTCTCGAGCGACGCATTCTTGGAGTCGGTCCTTGAGGTTCCTCATTGCTCGCTCAAGCACATCACCAGGAATTGATGTGATTTCGTTGCGAATTGCAGCCTTCAACTCCTGAATGGTCCGGGGTTTGTTCATGTAGACCCTTGCTTCAGGAGTTGAAGACTGCAATTCACAACGAAATCACATCAATTCCTGGTGATGTGCTTGAGCGAGCAATGAGGAACCTCAAGGACCGACTCCAAGAACGCTTCGCTCGAGAAGGAAGGCATTTGATGGATATAATTTTTAAAAACTAACTTAACAAATTTTTTGTCAATAAACTTCCATTGTAACTACACGTTTTGCACTTTATTTCAATTCAATACCTTAAAAATTGACAGTTTGCCAAGTATTTTAAAACCACCCGATCCATCTGCGCCACCCTGTACCATCGGAAATCCATGGAGCTACAGAAACTTGACTAAAAAAGTAAAAACCAATAAGGAGGGCACCCCAATGAATTGATTTCCATTTCAAATCTGTAAAGTTATCTTCCTTGAAAGAACATTCAGCTTAATGATGACATTTGCTATTTGGAGTTGGGACCAAATAGTAAGACTTCTAAGCAATAAACTTGTTAAATAACAGATTAGTTGTGTTTCTGTAACTTTATTCAATTTGTACACACAAATTGTTGTTGAATCCTACTAACAAAATCAAGTGTTTTACAGTTAGAAAGCAGTTTAAATGAAAATAAAGAAAATCATTTCAAGATTAAAGAGTTAAAAAATAAACTAGACACATTAACTAATATACATAATGACTCAATTAAACATGTAGAACTTGAACGAGAAAGTTTTAATTTTAAAGAAAATGAAAGGGAAATTGCTTGGGAAGAAGTTATGACTGAAAATCAGAAGCTACGACAGCAGTTAGACTCAAATGTTTTATATACAGAAGTATGTATTTATTTTTTTCTCGTTCTGTAATTCTTATTTTTTAAACAATAGCTTAATAGTAGCCTATAGGCCTAATGATTTTTTCATAAATCTGTAAAGATTATCTGAAAAGTTGAACATGTTTTATTTTGTTCTCTTGTTGTATTGAGGTACAAATTTATTACCGTCTATGTATTATGGCTGGATACAGTACCTAGAATTATTATTGAACTGTTTTGCCTTGTAGAGTATGTTGTTTTTTCTCATGTTACATTTAAACAGCCTATTGTATGCCTTCTTTTGATCTGTGCCTGTGAGTGAACTTAGTGAAGTGCTCAATTAAATATTCTACTATTCAATGCCACATTCATTAAAAAATTGCAAGGTGTTTGATTAAATAACATTTTGATACTACACCCAACAACATAAAGATTGTTGAAATGTTAAAAAAGTTATAGTGTTCCTCATTGATAAAACTCCTATATCTTCAGTTAATAATCCCGTGATAATTAAGTTGTTACCAATGATTAACTTTTTCTATATTTATGGCAGTCAAATTTTAAAAATATTTATCATACTATGACCAAAGCCTTTTTTGACGCAGGGGAAATCCATTATGCTCAAACCCAGATGAGACAGTGTAGTACCATAGACTAAGCAACACAAGTAGACTCCTCATTCAATTTGTAAATTTTGAAGCTTGTTTTTCCTGTCTAGTTCATGTACGTCCACACTGATCGCTGGGGTAGACAAAATTTTTTTCTATTATTTTAGGGTTATTTTCATGATTTGTACTTTTTTATTTGGTTATATAACTAGGAGACCAGTTTTTGTTTGTGATTAAATTGTTTTATTTGGCTAAATGATGTTTTAAATGACTGAAATAACAAGAAACAAATCGTAAACAAAACATAACCTCTACAGTTGAACGTACAGAACAAACAATAAAATTGGCTTCAGCTGTTCCATAAGGATGACAAATCTACTAAGGGAGTATGATTTATCTATGGTAGTACTCACATCCACTATGGACCACAACCCCTTATGAACCATGGAACCCTCATCGGATGACTTAATACCTGGCCCGTGCATCTTACGACCTCAAGGACCATACAACTTACTTAATGCAAGGATCAACCACTATCTACTATATCTTTTTTTCCTCGTAAAATCACCTTCTTCTAGTCTTTCCCTAGGTTTCTTCCCTTTTTACCATCAAGCTTAATTTCCTAGGAATTCTTTTTTCTCACATTTTCCTCACAGCTGGGTTTTGAATGATAACAATTCAAGCCTATTAGTACTTTACTACAAATGTACGTAATAATAAGAAGAAAAAACAAGTAGGAGTGGGAGATTATAAAGAGTTAGTGATAAACATCATTAAGATGTCTAAAAGCTACAGCCCTTTCACCCCTGTATGTGTTAACTATATGCTCTACAGTGCTTAAGAATTGATTTGGATTAATTTATACCAATTGACACACACTGACAAACTATATGTACAGACCTTATACAAGTAATAATATTGTATCATTTTTAGGATTTGAAACACAAACTAAAAACTGCACTGAAAGAGTTATCCGATTTGCAAATTCATCACATAAAAAATATAATGGAGACTGATAGTTCTTGCAGCATTCTCAGTGGTGAAAATGCAAAGGTACACTTTACTCATCTTTAATAATTTGTATTTTTGGATTACTATTTAAATCACTTACTTTTTAGTTGAGGCAGTGTGTATGATGTGTGTATAGCTGTGTGCACCGCACATGGTGTGATAAAATATTATTCATTCATTTTATCACATAATCTTTATTTTTACAAAATGGATGTATTTCTGGCATTCAAAGCATTTAGTGAACGTATTAAATTTATTTATAATTTGTAATTAATTCATTACACCTAACTGTTAAGAATAATCAATTGTATGTAACTAAACTGTGTTGCCAATTATTCACAGTAAACATTGTGTAGTTTCTACGAATTTATTAAGAATCTTTAGATTAGTGCTTGAGCTATCAAAATATCGTATCATCAAGACTCTTTTGTAACTAATTAACAGCATAAAACTACCTTTACTAATACAAAGTTGAAAATTTACTAATAATTTTAAAAATGCCACTGACAATGTCAAAACATGTTAACATTGTTGACAAAAATTCAGATTTTTCAAAGAAACTTAAGTTTTACATCCTAATAATTCAAGCTATTAAAGCATACAAATATAATGTAATTGCAGTTTAATGTGTGTAATGGCCAAAAAGTTCTCTTTCCTGCTTTAGCACTTAATGCATAGTTATGCTATTTTACTTTAGAAGTAGAATTATAAAGTTTGTTTAATATGTTTATAAATTTCAGGTTTTTATGGGAGAAAACTTCTTCCTCGGAGACACAGTTCCGTTTAAAGCTTCGCTATTGGCTGAATTAAAAGATGAGGTATCTATATATCTATGTATTATCTATATAATCTATATAATCTAATATAATCTAATATAATCTATATATTAATAGACAAGCATGTTTCTTTAAAATCATTTTTCTCAGCTCGTGTGCATCGCAGGGAAACTCTAGGCATACTGTTAGTAGGATTACAATATTTTTCTGTAAATGTGCAGAATCCCTTTATAAATTAATATAGGCTCAAAAATAAGCACAACAAATGAATTTAAAATTAAAAAAAATTACATGGGTCTTATGGGTTGCCCGAAATATAATATATGGTGACGATTTTAACAACCAAATACAAACAGAAAATCAAAACAAATGGAAGTAATTCCAATCACATGTTTCATTTACAATGTGGGGTGAAAATAGAGAAGCTTGTACATTAAATATTTTTGGTCGAGCTTTCGGCCACTGGCAACCTCTAGTAGTTATGGAAACTCGGGCAGAAAAAAAAAACTTGTATATATTAAAGTTTTATGAGCTATGTAGTCAATTTTGGTAGTTGGTAGTTAATCTAATTTATTGAACCATGCTTCTGAAAAAACCTCTTATCTATTCAAATAAAATGTAAAATAGTGAATAGATAACGCAGGGATGTGGTGGACCCGGTGGTTGCCAGGGTCCTGGGAGGGAGCCTCACTTGTAGCCTCAAAGAAAATTTTTTCACAGATAATCTGGTAGGGGGTTTAAATTTCAAGACTTTTTATATCTTCCCGATTGGCAAAAGCGTCTACAAAGATTGCACGATCAAAAAATAACTATTTTTCCTCAATCGTGGATGTCTCGAGGACCTTGAAAGATGTTCATGGTTTATTTCTGACCATGAGACATTCATGATTTTACCACACTTAGGGAAGACGAAAATGATGCAAAGCAAACACTAAAGCTAGTCACGACTGTGGGAGAAAAAATGACGTCCCTGTAAATGCAGGAGACATTTACAATTTATTTTTATTTATTTGTGACCATAGGAGGCATAGATGATGCATCTGCCATTACGAAAGATGTTAACTATTTCGAGACATTCACGATTCCTTTGCGATTGCAGAAGATGTCCACGATTTCATTGTGACCGCCAGGGATCCTCTTGATTTTCTTATAGCCGAAGACAATGTTGTTCATTCTCAGTTTAGTGTTTGTGATTTCACCGCGTTTAATCTGGTTATAGTATAATCTACAATTAATGTTTTAAAAATCAATACTTTCCTAGTTGAAAGTAAAAAGGCCTGGCCCACAGACCCCTAACATTATTATCAAAAAATAAAATGAAATTATTCATTTGCTAGTTTCCTAGGTTTATTCACTGATCGGATGGTAGAAATCAAATGGTCGAGTTCATTGTGTTAAAGCAATCCCATGTGTATTTATAACCCCGAACTCAGTTATCTGATCATGCCACAGCTGGTTTGGTTGGATAGTTTAGACTATTGGTAAATCTATATACTATTATATAAAAATCTAATGGTGTCTGTCTGTATGTGTATTACTAATAGGTGCAAAAACTAGTGAACTAACTGGGCTTAAATTTTACAAAAATATAGTTACCATACCAAGGACCATTATAGGACTATTCACATTTCGATACTGACCGTAGGCTTTGCCCCTTTGGTTTTAAAAGTTCTTAGGTGAACATTTTAAAAGTAAATATTGATTGGTCTCCATGGCTGTGATGAGAACACTAACAATGTTTGTTTACATTTGCTTTGACATTTAAATATAAACAAGAAGAACTGCTAAACTGCATATTTCACAATTTCAGACAGCTGATACAAAGAAATAACATTTTCCATAAATATGAGGTAGGTTTATTTTGACCTAACATTTTATCATGGATTATTTATTCTAATGTATTTATTCTAAAACTATGTCAATGATTATAGAAAAAAAAGATTTTATAGCCGTTGCTGTATTAACTCCGGCTCTGCTTTGGATTTTTTAAAGCGTCTTAGGTTAATAATCGTGAAAATAATGTTATTGATATGTTTTCATGGAAACAGTATGAAAATTACTATGTATAGATGTTTTGTATGAATTTGGAGGCTACTTTAAATAAATTAAAACTGCTTCACATGTGTTAGATTAACCATAATTTGCACATCACATTGTTTTTATATGTATATTTAGGTAAATTAAGTTATTGTGTTTTGATAAACCTATGCTTAAATTAACCTAAAAAATACCATCAATAACTAAATTGGCTTTGATTTTTGTTTTCTAAAATCTGTTGTATATATGTGCGGTAATACAAAATACTCTTATTTTATCTTAACATAGCTTTCAGTTCAAATTTTACTTTATTTGATAAATTTATTGTTTGTGTTTTGCCACACCACTGATTAAATTAAACCAAGGAAAATATCATAAAACTAAACGGTACACAGTGTTCTTTTGTTTCTAAAATGAATGAAATATCTGTTACTATGTTTTCCTAATGGTAAGTGTGAAAATGTAAAGACAATGGACGATAAAACTGATTAAAAGAACTGGTTTGTATATTAAGTTGTTTGTTTATATTTTTGTATAGTAGAATCAGAGATGCAATGAAACATATTCTGTATTTGCTATTATTTTTTAGTCCTTTATGCTTTGATAATCATATTAGTTTTGTCTGCTGTCCTTAATGCTAAATTATTTGTTTGACATTTTTTATAGTACCTATGGATATAGTTTCTTTAATATTTCAAAATACTGTATTGATAAGGCACAGCAATATTTCTAAAGTTAATAACAGCTGACTTAGTTTTGCTAATGATTAAATTTATTGTGAGTGAAAAAACTGAAGATGAAAGGATTTGTGATTTAATATAAAGAAGAGTTTAATATAAAGATATTTAAATTTAATAATTAGTATTTTTGCAACTTTAAAATTGAAATTTAAAATGTCAATAATAAATTAAAAGATGTGTAATTAAGGGAGATGAAGGTAAATCTGGTAAATCATGTTCAAGTTTTACTGGAAGATTAGGTCAGTTTTTCTCATATCAGCCTCCACAAGATTTAAAATTAATCAAAACCAAAATGGCGGTATCCACTACTTACCAGATTTAAAAGTCTTAACTTAAACGTTTCTATTAAGGCTATAAAAGTTGAATTTTGTTTCTAAAAGCGTTAGCGGATCTGTAACTATTATATGCAAGAGATAATGATTAAAATGTTTCTATTTTGTGTCCTCTTCCCGTTGCAAAGCACGGGTACAACAGCTAGTATTTTAATAAAGTCTTATTAATAAAGAGTTATTCATAACCGTGTTCTAGGTGGAGTTGTCCAAGAAAGTGTGTAGCAGTGATTGCAAGCACACTATTGAACTTCATCCCAGTCCCTTGGACACTTCTAGTAAGCATTTATCATATAAATATCATTCATATTGTTAAAGCCTTGATTAAACCATTCTTAATTGAATAAGTTTGGCGTAGCTTACTGCTCTAAAAGTATTCTGTAAAACTTTCCTAGATCATTGTGCTTTTTAGTTTTTACGAATGGTCCTGTTCCTCCTCAAATAACCAGCAAACTAGCTGACATTAGTCGGTGACAAATTTCATTCTATACTCATCTTGCATGATCTTGATCAGCTTAAAAATGCACTTAAACAATCAATCAATCAATCAAGAAATTTATTTACACAATAATTGCCAATACATAGGACCCAAAAGTGCAAAAACCACAAATGGTTTGTCTGCACTAAAAATATTGTTTCTTATTTTACCATACAGTTTTGTCAGTTTGAATCAGTAGCATGCAGTTTTATGAGTTCTTAATTGTCTCTTGAGTATTTAATAACAAAAAAAAGACAACAAAGACACAAATATCTGTTAATACTTGAGTAGCATTGCTGTCTAAAAGGCAGTAATGATAATGTAAAATCTTTTTACTTGATCTTTTTTAAATAATTCATGTAAATGATTTACAGATACCACAGACGTTACATCCACTGTCGAAACTGCAGAGAAGGCTACAATGACCAATATAATTTTGCAACAAGTAAGTTAAATATTAGTTTATTCATATTTTAGGGATGGACGGGATTGAATTTTTAGTTCGGGACGGGACGGGACGGGATTTTTATTTCCTTCCCGATTTTCGGGACGGGACGGGACGGGATTTTTTTCTGTGCATAAAAAGAAAGTACTGTATTGCAGTTACCAAAAAAGACATAAGAAATCAATTTTTACCATTTGTGGCACTGATCTATAAAAACCAAAAAATGGGTAACAATTTACAGGTACCTATAGAAACTTGTGACTCGCGGGTCACGGGGTGATCGTCTGTATGACTCGCGGTCACGGCGCGATCGTAGTCATGACTCGCGGTCACGGCGCGATCGTCGGTATGACATCGCGGTCACGGGGTTATCGTCGGTATGACTCCACGGTCACGGCGCGATCATCGTCATGACTCGCGGTCACGGCACGATCGTCGGTATGACTCGCGGTCACGGCGCGATCGTCGGTATGACTCCACGGTCACGGGGTTATTGTCGGTATGACTCCACGGTCACGGCGCGATCGTCGGTATGACTCGCGGTCACGGCGCGATCGTCAGCATGACTCGCGGTCACGGCGCGATCGTCGTCATGACTCACGGTCACGGCGCGATCGTCGTCATGACTCGCGGTCACGGCGCGATCGTCGTCATGACTCGCGGTCACGGCGCTATCGTCGTCATGACTCGCGGTCACGGCGCGATCGTCGTCATGACTCGCGGTCACGGGGTTATCGTCGGTATGATTCCACGGTCACGGCGCGATCGTCGGTATGACTCGCGGTCACGGCGCGATCGTCGGTATGACTTGCGGTCACGGCGCGATCGTCGGTATGACTCCGCGGTCACGGGGTTATCGTCGGTATGACTCGCGGTCACGACGCGATCGTCGGTATGACTCGCGGTCACGGCGCGATCGTCGGTAGGACTCCGCGGTCACGGCGCGATCGTCGGTAGGACTCAACGGTCACGGCGCGATCGTCGGTATGACTCGCGGTCACGGCGCGGTCGTCGGTAGGACTCCGCGGTCACGGCATAATCGTCGAAATGACTTCGTCTCCTGCGTTCGCGGACCTATCGCTCGCAATAACGGCGTTATCGGCACTCGCGAAGCGGAAAAATCGCCGACGATCGGACCAAATCCCGTCCCGAAAAATTCCCGAGTCAAATGTAATCCCGTCCCGATAATCGGGAATATTTTTTTCCCGAAAAATTCCCGAAATTTCGGGACCCGTCCATCCCTATCATATTTATTATGATGGCCTAAGGATGTTTAGTTATTTGTACACCTAACACCTGACCCCCAAGACTACTATGGAATGAACACTGTTATGGTAAATAAATTAAAGTCGGGACCATGTAAGTTTGCAGTTAGTGGTAGCCAATCACAAGACGAGGCTAGTGCGACGTTGCCACATCACCCATTGACAACACTAATTAAAAATACAAAGCTATATTTTCAAATCAGCTGGTATAATTAGATTTGGCAACACCAGGCCGTTCTCATTGGTTCATTGAAAAGCATATGGTAAATATTCTCCTCCCTCAACTGCAAACTTATGTGGTCCCGACAATAAATGAGTTGCTTTCTTGTTACATACTTCACACAACTATCACTAAGTTATAGCATTTACATATTCTAATTATATGCAATAATTATAATAACCTTTTACGTAGTCTTTGCCCAGATATGTATGATTTAATGGTGTTCATTTCCATATTCAGTCGTTCATCAATGGTTATACACCGTTCACAAAAATTAGGTTGTTTTAGGGGAAGGAATCTATCCCCCTCCACTTGATCCTACATTTAAAACAATATCTCAACAGCTGAGGTTTGCCAAAACGTCAATCAGGAGCAACATACTTTATGAAAAAAAGGTGGTGGGAGAACTTCCCCACAAACCGCCAAAATTTTGTGAAAAGACTATCTATATATATATAATCCAATGTATGTATGTTTGTTTGTTTGTCCTTTATAGACTCCGAAACCGCTCGACAGATTGTAATGAAACTTTCAGGCATTATCAAGCATTATTCAAGGATGGTTTGTGTGAAGTTTGGTGCAGATCCGTCAAAAGGGCTTCGCCCCAGTGGCTCTGGAGTTTCCCATGTTAACCTTATAAGTAGGCCTACTCATTTTTAAATGGAATTAAAGAATCTTAACAGCTGGTTCAACTAAAAAATTTGATTCTGTGATGTTCAATAGTATTAAAAAGTTAATATGTTTACCAACAGGGTGCAGCACTATTATTCTTTTTAAATTTATGACAACAGCTAATTCGCAACCTAAAGGTTAGTGAGCGTAGCGAACGAACTTCAACCAGGACGAGATTGAGCCATGCGAACGACCTCATCTTGAAAATGAACGAGCATTTGACATAAAACCACATTAGGACAGGACGACGTCTATCGGGCCAGCTAGTAAATAATATATTACAGAATGCTTGGACCAATGCTGGAATAAACCCTAAACAAAAGTCAGCTGGGCTTATCACCAATAGAAAACAAGAATCACTGTTCCAGTTTAGCGTGGTGAAATGGCAACACCATTCTTAAACCTCTCTTCTGTTTGAAGTTCATCCTGTTAGAGTCATCCCTCATATGGGGCCAAAAAGTTACCCTCATATCATAATCCTTACCATACAGCTCTAGTCATATACCCACTTTCAAATTAGCAAATTATTGTACTCCTAAACATAAAGCTATAATATTTGTAGCATGTACATAACATTAGTAGAATTATAGTTTGACAATACGTTCATTTTTGCTTCATTTTAATGCAGACTGAATTTTACAGTATTTTATTCGATACTAGCTGTACCCGCGGGCTTTGCCCCGTTTAACTTTATAAGTGAGCTCGTTCGCATGGCTCAATCACGTCCTGGTTGAAGTTCGTTCGCTACGCTCACTCACTTTTCGGTTGGAGCTCGTTCGCTGCGCTCACTTGCCTTCAGGTTAGCTCGTTCGCTACTCTAACTCGCTTCTGTTGTGTGTCCTTATGGTTATTATTGTAGCAAGTGGGGCTTAATTAAAACTTCACATATTAATATAACATACATTTATTAGGAGCTCTATTAAAGATTTTACAATTCGGTTCTAAGTCCATTTTGCAGAGAGCGAGTCTCCTTCTTAATCAAAGTGAGCTGGTGCTACCAGTGCTGCCAACATAGCACTTTCAAACTAAACTAACAAAACTTTACTATATATAACAAAACAACTCACAACACCTCCCCCTTAAATCTTTTATCCTCTAACTAACAAATTAACAAAGTTTCAAAATTATGAGCATTAGCACTTTTATAGTCTTACCATACAAAGACTTCTGAAATTTTAAACAATCATTTCCTAACCTATCAAACAACATAAAAAATTTCCACCATAAACTAAACATAATACTTTTCATCTTCAAAAATTACCAAAACTTGTAGGCTATTAGTATTTCAAACGTTATTACCAAGTAGTGCCTAAACAAACCCTTTATTATCTATAACATATCAAAATAAAAAACATCAATCAATATAGAGAAATACAATCATATTAAAGATACCTCAAACTGAGGTTTACTCAAAACTTAAACAGTCCCAACAAAAACCTATTAGGCTACACTATTAAACATAATTGACTTCCTAACCCTTTTCTTGGTTAGGCCTATACAATGTAAATTCCATTTTTTGTACAACTTCTTTACTTAAGCACCTCAAATAACACAATACAGGACAGTTAATCAGTGTCATAATCCTCTAGCCTTCTTGGAGGCCTAATTACACGACCAAACCTAGTTTTATAAGCACTTCTTACATTAGGCGTAGCATTGGGGTTTACACTACTATGCATTGGCGTTAAAGCGACACCACTACTTACATCTAGTGATTGAGATTGTGAAAATGGAGACACAACTTGAGTTTGTGGGGTTAAAGTCTCGCTAATACGAGTATTTGTCAAGTTATTTGAACTTGGTGATACATTTACAGTAATAGGCCTACTAGGATTTGTAACCGGAGTTTGTGATTGATCTGATTCTACATCATAATACACTTCATTTCTCTGATCATCAATAGGCCTATTTAAATTACGTCCAATTTCAGACCTCAACCTTAAATGAAAACTATTCCTTCTCAGCACTCGTCCATTACTCATCTTAACCATATAAGATCTAGGACTACCTGTTAGAGCTACAATTTGACCTGGTTCCCATACTCTTTTAACAAGATTGTACACTTAAACTGGATCCCTTAACTGAAACTCAGCTTTAGGCTTAGTTGTTCGATCATACACTTGAGCAGACTTAGCTTGATTGTTTACGATAGCTTGTTTGACATTACTAAGACTAGATAAACTTGGCTGAAGCAACCTTTTTGTGATAGGCACTTTAGTACGCAACCTGCGACCCATAAGAATTTGAGACGGTGACAACCCATTAACAACAGGCGTATTACGATATTCTAAAATAGCTAACTGAACATCTGACCTAACTTCATGACATTTTTTCAGAATTTTCTTTATTGTCTGAATGGTTCTCTCAACTTGTCCATTTGACCTGGGATATAATGGACTTGTATTAACTACTTCGAAACACCATTCTTTAGCAAACTCTTTAAATGCAAATGACCCAAAAGGATTGTTGTCTCCGACAACCTTTAATGGTATACCGTGACAAGCAAAAATCGGTTTTAAGCATCTCACTACCTCTAAAGTAGTCTTGTTACACATTTGTACACATTCAACCCATTTCGACAAATAATCTACAACAACTAAATAGATGTTAGGGCCTATTTCAGCTATGTCCACACCTACTTTGCTAAATGGTAGGTCAGGTATTTCATGAGAAATTAATGACTCTTTTGCCTGTGCATTCATATACTTATTACAACTAGCGCAATTTACCACAAGATTCTCAATATCTCTAGTTATACCTGGCCAATATATCAACTCTCTAGCCCTGGCCTTAGTTTTCTCAATACCAAAATGATGTTGATGTAACAACTTGAGCATACTTGT